CCTAATCTCCTGCTAATCCCCAAAGTGCACCCTTTGTCCAGCTAACCTGAATTACTTGTGTAATGAAGTGGAGAATGGAATTCACTAGAAATGCCTCACAAGAATGTTTGGAAGTAAAGCAGTGTAGGGAAAGAACCATACATTCCAGGGATCTCTTTCCACTTTCCTCTGCTGGAAGTGAGGAAGGATAGGGGTGGATAAAACTCCAGGTTCTCCAGCTGTCTCCTAGTGGCCCCGTGTGGCCAGCAAACCCAGTAGGCTCTTCTGGCTGGAAAGGGAGCCCGCATGGTTGTGTGTGGGAGCGGGGGAGGGAAAAGTGTAAAAGAGGAAGTGAGAGGGTGTGAGAGAAGTTCGCCAGTTGGTGTCTAGAGAGACTTCCGGTACCCTGTGGCATGCTGTGTGAAGCTGTAGGTGTCCTGTCGCTGGGTGGGACCATGTTGTTCTTGACAATGGAATGTGAGTGGAAGAAACATGCGCTGCCACCTCATTTGATTAAGAGGGAATGCCTGGCCTGGACTCGCATGCTTTCTCCCTTCCTGTTGGTGGGAATAGTGACAACTAGAGCAACCTTGAAAGCCATGTGGTAAAGATGGCAGAGCTGCCATCAATCTGGGTCCCTATGGAATCAAGTTACCCATTGGCCTGAAATGCTCACTTTAGAACTATTGCATGAGAAAGGGAAACACTTGTATATCCTTTAAGGCATTGGATTATTATTGACTCCTTTGTTCTGGCAACATAGCCTATCCTGATACATCCCACAAGAAGTTGCAAGTGGAAATTTTGATTCCCCCCCCCACCCCTCCGTTCCTTCATGCTATTTAGTGCCTTAAGAAATCAGTCTATTTGGATCATGAGAAGGTCAGTGTCAGACATACTTGGATTAGTTTAAGTCTGTTGCCCTGCTCCACTGTCTGAGACCAATCTGCTGGGTTTTGGTTTCTACCATGGTACTGGTGACGATGTAGGCTTTAGAATAACTGTCATAAGCCAGTTTCTTCCAGAAAATGGAGCAATTTGCAGGAAATACCATTCCTGGATGGACTTTGGATCACATTTAAAGCATGTCGCAGTCTTGACACATCCCTGCAGAATCTGCCCCCATTTTTATCTTCATCACCTCTCTACTCTCACTTCCTGCTACTATCTCCCCACATACTCTCCTCCAGCTGCATTGGTGTCCTTGCTGTTCCTTAAACATGTCAGACACCACAGAGTCTTGGTGTGTAGTATTCCCTTGGTCTGGAGTATTCTTCCCCCAGATACCACTTGGCTTGCTCTTCACCTCCTTCAGATCTTTGCTCAAATGTTATCATCTCAAAGAGAACGTTCTTTTTTTTTTTCCTTTTTAAAATTGGGGAATTGGGGGAGGGGAACAGTGTTGGGGGATTGGGGAAGGGGACCAGCCAAGTTATTGTTCTTCAGTCTTAGTTGTG